GTGGGCTGGGGCGCCCCCTGGTGGCCATCCAGGGAGAGGCGTGGGCCAGGGGCGGGTCTTGTTATCCAGGAACTGGCCAGGGTCCTCCTGCCCCATTGCGGCCTACAAGGGAAGGGATCCAGTGGGAAGAGGAGGCCCTGCCCAAGTCCAGGTGTCAGAGGGCGGCCCTCACCATGCTGAGTGCGGGGAAAGCCATTGCTGGAATCATCCCTCGTCACAGGCACAGGCTCTCCGCCCACCTCGCGGTAAATGTCGAACTCCTGGGCCAGCGTGTGGATCACCACGGACAGGTCCTGCTCCCGCACCTGGGCCACAGCAGATGGCACATCACATGGGCTCCCAGGTACCTATATCCACCCTGCTCTGCATCAGCACCAGCAAGAAACTCACCAGGATGAAGTCCGTCTGGTAAGTGGACAGCATCAGCACAGACACGTGGTGCTCGGCCAGTGGCGCGATGACCGAGCGGGCGATCTTGGTAACCCCAGCAGCCTGCACTGCCGCACCGCTGTGAGACGACACGTTCAGCACCAGCCATGTGGCCTCAGCTACTTGCAGAAACTCAGATGGGGGCAGCTCTGTGGGCAGGGGACATGTCAGGTCAGGGTTTGCAAGGCTGGCCCCTGCCCCTCTCTGAGCCTCAGTTTCCCTCTCTGTGCCTTGGAGGGCTCCATCAAGGTAAGGGCAGGTCTGCAAGCTGGGGCTGTCTCCCCCCAGTTCTGCTCCTGAAGTCCCTATGTGTGCAAAGACTGAGAAAGGCTTCAAGTGCTGGCCTGGTGGCATTGAAACTTCCCACTTAAGATCAGAGGTTCAGATTCAGACAGACCTAGGTTCAAATCCCAGCTTTGTTAATTTGTCTTGTGACCTGGGGCAGATGATTTGAGTCTCAGTTTCCTCATCTGTAAAATGGGACGACAATATGTACCTCACTACCGTGTCTTCCGTGGGTTAGCAGAAGCTTTATACCACAGGGCACCACCAGGGGGCATTTGCAGATCAGGTTGGCTGGGGGACTGCCTTTTCCCCTTTTGCAGACCCAGACTTCCCTGAAGTAAAAACAGGGAAACTAAGGCCTGCATTGGAGCAGGGGGACAGGCCAAGCTCCAGCTAGCTCGCCTGAGACTCCAAGCCTGTGAGGATGGGCCGGGCCAGCAGCAGAAGGAGGAGCTAGGCGTCAGCTCCAGGGCCCAGGGAGGGCCCAGGCCGGCGTCCAGTCCTGAGCAGGGGCCAGGGCCTGGGTGGCTGCTATTCACCCCAGCACAGCCAGGAGGCCTCCAGGACCCTCCCCTGAGATGGCTGCCTACTCCTGCATTCCTTCCCTCGGACTCCTGGAGTTCCCAGACCAGCAGGGGAGGAGGTGACCCAAACCAGGGAGATAAGACCAGGAGGAAATCATACCCAGGGACTTCTAACAGCAGCACTTGCCTGGAATCATAACAGAGGCCCTCCTGCAGGCCTAAGACTGCTGAGTGCCCTTCAGCGGTTTTGAGTTTATAAAGCCCTCATGGGACCCTGTTTTTCAGAACCAGAACTATACCCATTTTACATAAGAGAAAACAGCTCAGAGAGGGGAAGTGATTTGCTCAAGGGCACACAGCCAAGGAGTGGTGGAGTAGGATTCGAACCCTGACATATCTGCTTTTAAGGCTTAAGGTCGTGGGATGGATCCCAGCAACTGGTGAGAACCCTACAGAAGGGGAGCGCGACAAGCCCCTCCCGTACTCCCGTTCCCCAGACCAGCCCCCACCTTTAAAGCCCTCCTCATCCACCATAAGTGTGTAATCCTCAGGGGTCTCCGTCAGGCTGAAGAACTTGCACCTGGTTGGGAGTGGGGAGCATCTTCAGTTTGGTGTGGAGAACTGGGGATTGCGAGTGGATGTCTCTCCATCTGCCCCAGACACCTCCGCGACCCCGGGCCAGCGCCTTCCTGCCCCCTCGGCCTTTAATTTCCAGGGCAATGGGATGTTAGGCCCATCTCCGGGGTTGGGGGCTACTTTCCGGCCTCCCGACCTCTCCAGGAGCCTTCCACCCCTCCACTCCTGGAGGGAGGAGAGGTTCACACCCGCGGCGACAGCCTTAGGGGCGTCGGACCTTGGACCCCCTAGTCCAGCCCCTCTGACCTGAAGGGAGGTGTCCTGGAAGGAGCTCCCCGGAGTGATCAGGTAGGAATGCCCACATTTGACACCACTGAGTTAAGCATTGCGCATCCCAGGCTGTTTGCGCTTTGCCCCTCGGAGGGGGCCTCACGGGGCCGCATAGGCTGTGGTCCCCCAGGCCGGATGGCGGCCGGAGCGGGAGAGCCCTCCCCACCCGCTCCCGCCCGCCTGCCTGCCTGCCTTACGGCGATCCTAATCCTCCGACCCTGGCCCGGAGCGACAGCAGAGCCCCCAGACCCCATCTGCGCTCCCGAACCCGGGCGCGCACCGGCTGCGGTGGGGCAGGAAGAGCAGCTTGATGAGCGGGTGGGTGTAGAGCCAGAGACCCGGACGGGCGACGCTCAGCACCCGCACCCGGTGTTCTAGGATGTGCAGCTCCATCGCGGCTCGCGCGGACCCGACCCCACCGCGAACTAGACCCAGGCCGCGCGGGAGGCGGGGCGGCGGGGGTGGTGCCCGAGCCTTAAAGGAGCCGCTGCGCGGCCGAGTCCACGCCGTCCGCTACGCGGCTGACCCGCCCAGCCAGGCGCGCCGTCCAGCTCTTTGACGGCCACGCCCCGCGGGAAGAGAAGCCTATTGGGTGGTCACGCCTCCTCCTAATACCAGAACCGCTTTCCAGCACACCGAGACCGCCCCGAACGCCTCCGCTTTTTTTAGCACTGGCTCGGGGATAGACCCCACCCCGTCTGACTCCTCCAGGTCCCGCCCATGACGCGCCCCCTCCCTGGGCTCCGCCCTTCCCGCGGAACGCCAGCTGCGCAGCGGGTGGGAGCATCCAGGAGGCTAGGGGACGTTTCTGTCCTTCTGGCACACACGTGGGTTTTATGATTGAGGTCCTTAAGACAGAAGGACCACGAAACGAACTGGAGCTCGGCTGGGACCAGAACGCTGCCCCAAACCCCTGGAGCGATGAGAGGCATAGGTCGGCTTTGCAGCGCCGTCCACCGGGCACCTTTCCCTCTCCTGCCTGTGGTGGCTGCAGGGGGCAGGGCCGCCAGCACAAGATTGCGATTGATACCTACCCTTCCCCGCTTGCGAGGGGGCTGACAAGTTGAAACCTGGCCTGGTAGCCCCACTTGTTCCTCTCATCCAACTTTCAAAATAGAAGGCACCCCGCCAGGGACACACAGAGATAGAATTCTAGCCACCTCTGCCTGAGCGACATACTTTGGGTTAGGGGGCTGGAGGTGGCCAAGGCCTAAGACTTGAGGTCCCTCGATACAAACAAAACCCAAAAGTGCTTGAGCCAGTGATGCCCAGTGCTCAAACTTTGGTGGGGGAGGCCCATGCACCTGAGGTTCAGTGAGTACTCAGACCTCAAGCCTGAAACTTGAGCCCCAAAGCCTGCAGCCATTAACTGGCCTGTGCACATCTAAACTTGCTTCAGGTTCAAGGAGGCCCCCAGCACTGGCAGACACCCCAGATCTTATCAGGCCCCCACAGGTCTAAGAAGACCCCAAGGCTGAGCAGGCATCAGCATGTCCATGTTGGCTCCATGCAGGGCCGATAATGCTCCAGGGGACCCTTGTCTGCCGGGAGCACCCTGAGGCCTCAGATGTAAGGCTTTGAACCAAGTAGATTAAAGCAGGCCTCAGGCCTGATTGGGACCCAGCAGGCCTGAGCAGGCCCTCTGCCTGCTCTGGAGCCCCCACCACAGGCAGATGGAAGCCAAGCTAAGCCTCCTCCCTGGACTCTCGGGCTTGACACATTCCTGTGGGACACTGTGTAGCCACCACATCCTGGCCTATCCCCTGGAGGACTAGGGGAAGGAGGAGCCTCTCAAAGGCTGAGCCCATCTCATCAATGGCAGGTGCAGATAGAGTGGGAAACCACAGGGCTGAGGGGAAGGAGGCAGGAAGTGGGGTGGCCTACCCTGATAGTCTCTTGAGACCCTTCACCTCCCTAGGCCTCAGTATCCCCAGCTGCACCAGGACAGGATGTTCCAGGCCCAGGCGAAGCCTGAAAGCTCCCAGGGAGGCTCTGCTCCTCCCTCTCCTGCCCCCTCCCGTTCTGGCCTGGCCTGGCCCGGCTTGGTCATCTGCCAGGAACAGCGCTATTGTTTGACTGGAAAAGCTGCTTCCTCAGCAGAAGGGGGGCCTCTCCCAGGGACACCCTGTCCTTGCCCTCACCAGTCATTAGGTTGTGACCGCAGTGCCTGCCTGGGCCCTCAAGGGCAGAGTCAGGTCTCCTGCAGCCCTGGTCAGTAGAGGAAGCTGAGTGAGGGGCTCTTGGTGCAAATCTGGCTGAGGCTGGGTGGTTCCTTTCCCGCTCAGCTCATGTTTCCTCATCTGTAAAATGGGGCTAATCAAGCCTACTTGACCAGTTCAGCCTGGCACTTGGCAAGTGTTCAGTAAATTGAAGGTGGCATTTTATCAAAGACCCACACTTCGCCCCTCTCCCTGAGGGCTGAGCCTGTAAGGACATTTATGGTGCTCCACCCTGGGCCCCATCCCTGACCCCAACCCAGAATGAGCTCTCAGAAACTTACTGGAGCCTGAGGTAGCATCCAGGCCAGGCCTTGAAGGAGGAAGACCCTGAAACCTCCTCCTTAGGAGTCCCTGCCCCCTTGGTGGTGGGTGAGGATGAGGCCTAGGGAGCACGCCCTACTCTGCCCAGCACTGAGCTCCAGCCCTAGTGTCCCTTATCTGTGGCAGAAGGTAGACATAAGGCAGTGGGGATCGGGTGAGTGAAAATGGGGGTTAAGAATGGGGGCTGGCCAGGGACTTGGCATGTGCTCTGGTAAAGGTACCTCTCAGAGAGACTCTGGTGCTGGGCTGGAGCCCAGGAGGAGGGGCTCTGTAGGGCAGAGAAGAGATGCTGAGCACCAAGGTGACCAAGGTGGTATACGAGCTGTCTACACAAGGCTGTTTATTTCTGTACAAAACCATGTTTCTATTTTACACAAAGAACACCCCACCCTTTCCCCTCACACCAGCACCCTAACCCTGGGGAGCATCCCCCCAGGAGGAGGGGGCTGAAGGAGGCCCCACCCCCAGGCCCTAGCTTCTGCCTGCCCTGGCTGGGCCAGCCCGAGTGCCACTGTAAAGAAAATAAATAAGGAGGCTCAGGCAGAATCTGTGTTGGACCAGCCAGACTCCAGCCCAGTGGCCAGGCGGCTTGGCCCTCAGAGGGTGGGCAGGCCGTGGAATGTCAGTTCATGAACCGTGTAGGTATGTGGAGACCCCGCCCTGGAGGCCTGAGCTGCCAGGGTTACAAATAGGTGTCCTCACTCTCTTGGGATGTCAGGCTCTCCTGGGAGCAGTGGTGGGCTGAGACCTGGGGAGCCGAATCCTGAGGGGCTGAGTCCTGGGGGCCTGAGTCCTTCGGGGGCACATGCTGTGGGGGACATGCATCTCCTGCAGCGGCCACCACCATGGCTTGATTTGGAGCTGGGGGCTTCTCCAGCTGCCCTCTCGCCTTCGTCTGCTTCCGCTGCTCCTTCTGGGCCTGCTTGGGTGGCTTGGGCTTGGCTTTGGAGCCAGGGAGGGGGACATCTGGGGGCAGGCGGATGGACGGTGAAGGTTGTAGGGCAGGCCGGGGACCGGGTTCTGCGTCCAAGATGGCCTTGGCACCATGCAGCCTGGGCGGGGAGCAGCACTGCAGCTCACCCCGGGTCTCCTGCCAGCGCCGCAGCTGGATGAGGTGTTCGCGCTCAATCTGGCGCTCCGTCACAGGCAACTCCACCACCTGCCGGGGCAGTGACACAGGCAAGTGGGCGCCAAGAAGAAGGACCTTCCCCTTCTGCCTCCCAGCCTGGGCCCCCAGTCTTTCTCAGCATCCCCCAGCCCTGGCCACTAAACACTGACCTCAGGAAGGATGAGGGTCTAGTCCCAAGCTGCAGTCACAAGCCCCAGTGCTGAGTGCTAGGTGAGCTGGACACTTGAGACTCACCGCCTCAGAGGAGAAAGCTGCCCACAGCTTCACGAGTCCACCTGCCTGACTATGGGGCTGAAGGGGTAAGACCCAGACAGACAAAAACCTGCTCTCTGCCAACCTGTCCTCCACCACTGCCCAGGGCAGCCTGGCTGCTTAGGCTCAAATTCCAGCTCCACCTGGGTGGGTGACTTTAAGGGGAGTTGCTTAGTGATTCTGCCTCTGTAAGCCTCCATTTCCTCATGTGTAAAAGCTGGCCACACATGTTCCATCTAATTGCCCCTGAGAGACAAGTATCCATAAAGAAAGAAGAAAGGGAAATAAGAGCTAAGGCTGTGAATGGGGTACCAGGGAGGAAGAGGGGGCCGTGGGTCAGCACTCTTTATTCCCAAGCGGCTCGGATCCAGAAGGCCCTGCAGAGCCAGGCCTCTCTGTGTCCCATGCTCCTCACCAGACAGAAGGATGAGGTCCGCCTCCGCCTAGCAATGGTCCTGGCATAGGTGACCTACCCTCAGGGGCTGAGGGTTAGAGGGACCCCCTTCAAAGGACCCCCACCTGTCTTCTTCCCTCCCCGTGGTAAGGGGCAGGCGCGGGCTGTACCTCCTGGACCAGGAAGGCCTCCTGCATGATCTTGGGGCTGAGGCTCCGCAGTCGCTCGATGGTCTCATACTGGCCCTGGCAGGCTTTGACCTTCTCGGGGGAGCCCAGCGCGTGCTTCAGCAGCACCAGCCCTACCCGGAAGATGATCTTAACTCCTGCATGGGGGATGGGCAGTTAAGTACAAGGAGCCTTTTGGGGGTTTCTCTGCAAAGAGAGGCTGCTGGGAACAGGAGTGCTCCCCCCAAGCCCAGCCCAGTACCTTCGCAGAAGAACATGTCCCAGACGCGTAGCACAGAGCTCCAGGGCAAGGTTCGGGAGAAGGCGCACATGAACCACTCTGTCATATAGAGGAGCGGGTCGATCTTCTGACGGCTGAGGTGCTTGTGGGCCACCGGCGACACCTTCTGCAACAGCGAGAAGAGGATCTCCCCGTCCAGCTGGATCGCTTCCTGGGGAGACATCGAGGCCGTGGGACCATGACCGTGGGCTGCAGGAGCCAGGGCAGGGACTACACCCCAGCACCCAGCACCCAGCAGGCTCAGGCAAGTTCCGCCTGCAGGGTGTCTGCCTTTGCCAGGTGCTAGGATACAATGATGAGCAAACCAGAGCCACCTGGTCCCCCGGAGGAGCTTATCCCAAGAAGGGCACATGAGCAAAAGAGGCTGGGGAGGGGAGGGGCTGAGTGCCTCTAACAAGGCTGGGGCAGGACTGCTCTCGAGCATGTGCTGGAGGGCCTCGTCTGTCTGGGTCAAGAAAGCTCCCTGAGGGCTAAAAGCTGAAGCAAAAGAGAAGTTTTTAGGGGACAGCACGGGGATGAGAGCTTCCAGGCAGATTTTACCCTAGGCCAAGGCCAAGGCCAAGGGAGGGAGGAATTTGGTGCCCTGGAAGAACTTCAATCCTGCCAAGTGGCCAGCCAGAGCAGCTAGAAGCTGAGATGAAAGTCAGTGTAGAAGGGATAACATCGCAGTCCAAGAGACTTAACCCTGGCAGGCCTTGGGACTTCAGCCTGAAGGCAACAGAAGGCCGGGCAGTTTTTAACCTGGGCAGGAGTTACTATGAGAGAAGGGCCTGGAGGGGCCACAGAGGGTGTCCAGCCTGGGGCAGGTCCCAGGCCAGGCGACCACTCACCAGTTTCTCGCTGTAGTAGCCGGGCAGGTACTTCTCACAGATCTGTACCAGGCACCAGAAGGCTTGCTGTGGGTGAGAGAGACGTGAGGCCTTGCCATTGGGGGTTCCCCACCCACCCCTCGGCCTGCCCAGGGCCTGGTGGTACCTCAGCAGGCATGTGCATGAGCAAGACGGCGGCAATGGGAGCCTGGGCCTGGCAGTAGCCCTCCTCGGGCCGGTACAGCGTGTAGGCCTTCAGCACACGGAATAGGTCCTGCTGGCTGTGGAGAGGCCAGGCAGAGCAGTGATGACCGGGGTGACTCTGCTACCCACAGCCTTTACCTGTGCCCCACTGGACCAGCCTGCCTCAGAATCTGCATCTCCCTTGAGAGGGGAGGTGATCTGCTTGTGGTCACCAAGGGATCAGTCTCCTACTGGAGCACATGGACTCTCATATGCCCAGAGGAAGGAGGTGGGGAAGGTCTCCCCCATGACAGGGGAGGGCAGAGGCTCAAAGAGAAAACAGGGAGCAGGGCCAGGGCAGGATGTAAGGCTGTGTCAGGGCTGGAAGTAGGGGCCCCTCACTCAGCAGCTATGGCCTCTTGGCCAGGCCAGCTTTGTCCCTGCGTCTGTCTTGGTCCCCTTGCCTGCTCCGTCTCTCCCCTGCATACCTTCCACTCACCCAACTCTCTCTATCCCTCTTTCTCCCCAACAAAACCTGTTTCCCGAAGAGGGCCAGGCCAGGCAAGCTCTAACACTCTGGAGTCAATGAGGAAAGCCCCCCCTAGAGGTAAGAGGAGATGCTGAGAACACACATCAGACTCAAACCAAAAAAAGGGAAATGCTAAGAGTGGAGTTGGGGGCACCCAGCTTCTGAGGCCCTGAACTCACTGTACCTCCTCAGACCCCTTAGAGACAGGGCCTAGAGCCACCTCCCACCTCACAAGGCCCAGCCTGCTCACCCGTGGCCCCCCCGGGACACAAACATCTCATGGAATGGGAACTGCCGGTGCAGGTCACGCTCAATCACGTCCAGCCACTTGGGGTCCCCAGGGGACATGTCCAGCTCCTAGAAGCAAGGGCACATATTAGGGGCTGGGGAGGACGGAAGTGGGCATTGCTGCCAGGACATGGCTGCCCAGGGATTAGGGGAGGGAGGCCTCCACCAGGGGCAGTGCCCACCCAAGCCCATCACAGACTGGGCCTTCCCGAGGACAGGAAGAGAAGCTCAGGTAAGGACGCCTGGGCAGGGACAAAGGGGCAAGGAGGGAGGAGCCCTGGAAACCTTAAACCTGGCTCTAGGAAGACCGATGCGGGCAAGAGTGTCCACTCCAGCTGTGGCTAGAAGGACCTCTAGACATTTCATTCAGGAGTCAGTTAGATACATTATGTCACATCCTTAAGACAGAAGGCTGCTTCTCTGAGCAATAGCTACCAGCTGTTCCCACTTCTCTGAGCCAGGTGCTAAGCTGGGCACAGGGTACCTGTGGACCTCACTGATCCTTCTTCTCAGCCTCCAAAGATAGGACCTATCATTACACCCTGTTCGCAGATGAGAAAACTGAGTGTCAAGGCCTCATGGCTAGAAAAATGGTGGAGCTGGGACTGGAAGCCAGGTCTGACTGAGAGCCATCCATCCCAGCTCCTCAGCTACGTGCCTCCCTGTGCAGGTGGCGTCACCTATCCAGGAAGTGAAGTGTGTGTGAGATCTGCACAGAGCTCTTTTTGGAAGGACATGACATCTGTCAAACCTTAACCTCAGATACTTCTCTGGGTGCCGAGGTTTCAACAAAGTTTTACTCTTTTCTTTGAACCTCTGTGAACATTTCAGTATGTGCACCTTTACAAAACAACAAAACCATTACAAAAAGGAAAATCTTTTCTTGGTCATTTGAAATGTTCTCTACCTTGATTTGCATGTTGGTTACATGAATGTGTATTATTTATCAAAACTCACTGAACTGCATGCACATTCAAGACCTATGCATTTTACTGTATGTAAATTCATACCTCAATTTTTAAGAAAGAATGAAAAAATAAATAAGGAGGAAGCCCAGAGGGCTGAGCAGGGAAGCAGAGTATTCACCAGAGGAACCAGAATGTCCTCAAAGGCGTGGCCCAGGCACTTTCATGGGGGTGTTGGTTTAAGTACAAGTTGCCTGCAGGGCAGGGGCAGCATCAGGGAAGGCCCTCAGGAGGGAGGCCAGGTCCTCGGCAAACATACCCAGTGGGCACAGACCCAGGCCCTGCCCTGAAGAGCAGGTGACTTCATACAAGCCCCTTTCCCTCTCTGGCCCTCAGTGGGAGTGTCCTAGCACTAAGCTCAAGAACCTAGGGTGCCAGGAACTTGACTAGAGAGTAAGGACTGAGAGGAGCGGCTGACAGAGTGTTCAGGGCTGGAGGGAGAGGGAGGGGCTGGGACCTCCACAGAGCCCTAGAGCAGCCACATAGCAGAGAGGTGGATGCGTGCCTCTGGAGCCGCAAACACACTTGTGATGGGGGTCTGTGCTGTGCATCTCTAGGTACTTTCTGAGCGCAGTGCAGGTTTGCTTTTGTCAGAAAGGGGAAGAGGGCCCCACAAATTCTCCTAGCAGTTCCCATGAGGTAGAAACCCGAAAACCCCAAAAGTCAGTTCCTAGGATGTGTTCATCTGGTACCTCAGCAGCCTAAGGCACTTGGCCACACATGGTTGGTGAGAAAGGAAAAGGGGGTAGCTGCAGATAGAAAGGGTATCGGCAGACAAGCAGGTACCACAGTCACGGGGCCTGTAGCCTCCACTAGCCTGAGGGGTACTGGCGCCATCAGAAGGTGAAGCCAGAGAAGAAAACCAGGTAAAAAAGGACAGGGAGGTCCTGCCTGCCCAAGGAAGGAGGAAGAAATAGCACACGCAGGAGAAGAAGGAGCCACCAGGGCCTGCAGAGCCTGCCCTGAATGCTGAGGTTGGGAGGGCCACCTGGACTGGGTATTGAATGGAGGGCCCTGTGGGGAGAGAGCACAGAAACAGGTGTATGCTGCCATCACAGACTGCCACTGTGCCCTGCCTCGGCATAGGACCCACAGCAACCAGGGGAAGCTCCTCATGCTTCCTCTGGGCCACCACAGGCAAAGTCCTTCCAGGTGTGCTCACCAACCATTCTTCCAGCCCCCAGGACTGTGCAGGAACCCACCACCCAGCTTCGGTGCATCAAGAAGGCCTTCTCTGCAAATCCACCTCCTCACACGAGCAACCTTCCAGACCCCCTGGGGGTGGCTGATTCTTCTCCGGAAGCACAGCTCTGCACGCACATGCACACAGCTCTGCATTCTGCTGCACACACGCTCACACTTGCTGAACCACACAGCCAGGAGGCTGGCCAGGCTGCCCACGCTCTTGGCTCTCATGCCTGGCTCTGGCAGCCTGACATTAACCATGGACTTGGACTGGGGCTCCCACCCCTGAGCCTCCCGCTTTGCCCAGGATGCATCCCCTAGAAATGGGAGAGATGTAGCCACTAGGAGGAAGACTCTGGAGTCGAGAGGCTGCTCCAGTGGGACCTGGTATTGGTACTCTGGGGAATAATCCAATCAGCCAGATTCAGACCTATCCCAGCCAGACACTCGACCAGCTTCCCTGCCCCTGCAAGTCCACGTGTTGCCAGCAAAAAGCTCTCACCCTCTCTAGGTCAACAGCAGGAACTCTAGGCTACCTTGCCCTGCTCCTGCCCAGTCATCTCAAGGAAAAGATTCGGCAGGACAGGAGTGTTCACTGAAGAAACATGAGATATGTCAACAAAGAGCTGGTGGTGGGCAGCTCTTCTCTGTCTCACTGTCTGCCTGTCACCAGTCCCAAGGGCCTGTGAGAAACCCTGATGCCTGGGGCCACATCTGGCAGGTAAGCCAGGGCAACCCCAGGGAATCCAACTGCTTCCCCATAATTCCCTAGGGGAGCAGGCTGGAGGAGCTGCCCAGCTCTGAATGGGGAGATATTTTACTCTGGCCCGCCATGGGGCAGGGAGCAGCAGGAGGGATATCGGGACAGGCGAGGGATGACAACAGAGGACACCCTCTCTGGCCACTGAGTGGCATCTGACCCCTTGAGATACTTGGGCAGTTCCCTTCAGCCCCCTTGGGTTTGGCTCTGCTACATCCAGGGCTGATGACCCCAAAAGACACACAGGTGGGTTGTGCTGGCCAGGCTTGGACAAGGCAGGAGAAAGTAGAGGATGGGAGGCCAGGAGGCATCGAAGGACCTGTGGTCCTGCTGGTCAAGCCCCCAAAGGCCCAGAGCACAGGGCCCAAGGCAGTCAGGGAAATGGTCTGAGTGTCCCCTCCTGATCACCAGGAGCAGGGATGTAGCCTACTGAGCCCAGGAAAGCAAAACCTAAGTGGTCATCAAGAGAAAGAGCTGGAATAGGGGGTAGCAAATCTGGCCATTCCACTGAGGGCTGCTCAGGGCTGGAGCCTCAGTTGTACAGAGCCTCCAGGAGACACAGGTACCCAGGACTGGGCCAGTCTGGCCTGCTGGGGCCTGGGCAGTTTGGCACATGACTGGAGGTTTTGTGGACTGCTCATCCTGTGAGGTTCAGGTGAGCACATGGAGGATCGCTGCCATGGGGAGGACGCCCAGAGATGCGGAAGGGAGGGCAGGACAAAGGAAGGGAAACTTACATCAAACTTTCCAGGGTTCTGCTGTAACTTCACTTTGCCTCCTGACAGGTACTGCCAAGCACGGCCCCGCAGAGAAGGCGGGATGCCCTTTTGGCACCGCAGACGAATCTGAAAATCAAAAGGACAGCTGAGCCCATGCAGCCACCCAGGCAGCTCCCCCAGCCCAGACCCTTTGCCAGTGCGTGGTGGGCCCTCAGTGCACACAGCAGCAAGAGTAGAAACGGGGAGAAAAGAGGACTTTCACCAGGCAAGGTGGCTCACGCCTGTAATCCCAGCACTTTGGGAGGCCGAGGCGGGCGGATCACCTGAGGTCAGGAGTTCGAGACCAGCCTGGCCAACATGGTAAAACCCCGTCTCTACTAAAAATACAAAAATTAGCTGGGCATGGTGGTGGGCGCCTGTAATCCTAGCTACTTGGAAGGCTAAGGCAGAGAATCGCTTGAACCCAGGAGGCAGAGTTGTAGTGAGCCAAGATCACGCCATTGCACTCCAGCCAGGTGACAAAAGCAAAACTCCGTCTCAAAAAAAAAGAAGACTTTCCTACTGTTGCTACCATGCAGATCCTAAGGTGTGGGGAGAGGAGGTAACTGCAGTTAGATATGCTAACACCAGGTGATGGCAGAGTCCCACATCCCTGGTGACAACACGGGCATTCCTGAGGTCTACCATGGAATTCTAGACCCTCATAACTATCTTCTGAATCAAAATGGAACCCTACAGGCGGGCACGCTGGCTCACGCCTGTAATCCCAGCACTCTGGGGAGGCCGAGGAGGGCAGATCACTTAAGGTCAGGAGTTCGAGACCAGCCTGGCCAACATGGTGAAACCCTGTCTCTACTAAAAATACAAAAAATTAGCCAGGCATGGTGGTTGGCACCTGTAATCCCAGCTACTTGGGAGGCTGAGGCATGAGAATTGCTTGAATCCAGGAGGTGGAGGTTGCAGTGAGCTGAGATCGTGCCACCGCACTCCAGCCTGGGCGATAGAGCGAGACTCTGTCTCAGAAAAGAAAAAGAAAAAGGAACCATTACAAGTTGGGTGAACCCCATGGTCTGTCGCCTGGGAGGGCATTGCACTGTGTGCGGCTCAGCTGCAGCCCCAGGGAAGGTAGCTCATGAGATGAACCAGAATGTGCCCAGAGGTGTTGCCCAGGCACTTTCATGCAGGTATGTTGGTTTCAGCAGCCATGTGGTAGGATACCGCCAGCCTAGAGGGGAGAAATCTCAGCAGAACTCAGAAGGAAGATGGGAGCTGCTCAAATGGCTCCCTCTTTGTATTGGTCAAGAATCCCCTCTCTCCTCTCATTGACCCTGAGCTCCCAAGATCACTGGCCTGGGCCATAGGCAGCTGGCCTGAGTGTGAGTCCTGATCTCAGCTGTTGCTAAAATGGCCCAGGTCTTCCCTGCCACTCGCAGAATGGGAGAAGTGAGGGAGGAATTATTTGAGGCAGCTCATGACCCAGAGCTAGTGCTCAATTCCGGCTAGTTGTTTTTATCAGGCAAAGTTTTCCACGGGCAAAACTCAATCTGAAAACTATCAAAAGTATCATGTCTTTTACAAATGGGGAATTGAGGGTAGGGGAAAATTCGTGGGGGAAATTTCATCACACAAGCAGAGTGGGGGTAAATGTGTCATACCGTCAGAAACCCTACTACCTCCTAGCTGCACCGCACAGGCTGGAGGGATCCAGCCCCGTGTACTTTCTACATCACCAGTGGGCTCCTCCTGGGCTTGGGACCAGAATGATGCTCTGAAGGCGGTTGCCCTGACCTGTCGAGGTGGGTGAGGACAAAGGCTGGGGCATCACTCCTGTGAAATGCTGTCGTGGGGGAGGGGTGAGATGGCCAATGATACTCCCTCAACCCCTGCACTAAGCAGCCTGACCTGGGGATGAGCACTCAGGGCATGAGAAGAACATCTGGATCTGGGTTTGAATCTAGCACTGACCTTCAGCCAACCACTTCTCAACTGTAAGATCTGAATGCTAATACCTCCTACTGTGCAGAGTTGCCAAAGGAGTCCATTCGAGAGGGAAAATGTGCTTAGTGTGGGGTCTGACACACTGTCTGTGTTCAGTAAGTAATGGCTTCCTCTCTGCCCCTCCATCCCAGGTGGATGCTTGACACAGCTCAGGACCTCAGCTCACGCCTAACTTCCCCTCACCTAGAAACCCCCTTCAACAGTCCCCCTGGAAGCTCTCAGAAGAGGGAGCACAGAAGCCCTGGCCTTCCTGGTGCCCAGTGCAAACAAGAGAAAACTTTCCAAGGGTCAGAGAGAGTCAAGAACCAGGAAGGAGCCAGGCAGACAGGCTGAGGGTGGTGGGGGAAGAGTAGCGGTGGTGGGGGAAGAGTAGCGGTGGCTGGTCATAGGTGCCAAGTGAGAGCTTCTGGGACTGCCTAGAAAGAAGGCAGAGGCAGGGGGCTGAAGGGAACTGCCCAAGACTCAAGGAACAGTTTCCTGCAGCTGTGGGACAAGGGTCTCCTTAAGGAAGCCAACTTGGGCAGGCTTTGGCAAAAGGATGTGCTTTAGTCCAAAGCCACAGGCCCTTCAGGCTCTCCCACAGAGCCAAGCTCAGCAAGAGGCAGCCCCACATCATCACAGCCCCCATCATACTTGGCCTCCTCCAGGAGAGCCCTGGAACACTTCGCGGGGAGCAAAGAGCTGGGAGTACAGCCAGCCTTTCCCACTCTGGCCTCCTCAGCGTAAAGGTGCTGGAGGGGGTCATCCCTACCCTGCCTGCCTTAGGGAGGATGGTAGGGACCAATAAGGATAAAGCATAAGAAAGTATTCCCAGAAACCACAGGATTACCATTCTCTGAGGCCAGGCCTTGGGAAAGGAGGTCTCCGATGAAAGCTGAGTGAGGCCACACCCTTGCCTGCTGAACTCTGTGAGGGCAGGGCCACTGCTTAAGCCTACCCCAGGGCAGGGCCCTGCGGGACGACAGCATTCCAGCCCCTGCCCTGCCTCCCTGCAGGACCAGAATTCTGTCCTAGACATGGCTGGGAGTCGCGGAAAGGAAGGCACCCTCCCAGCAGGACTATGTATGAGTCCAGGAGAAGTGTTGGGTCTGAGCCCACTTCCTGAAACAGGTATTACCCTTCCTGTGCCATGACTTCCTGACCAGAGGGAGAACTCAAGCCTCCACAGGCAGGCTGGAAGAGCCCCCAGGGCAGGGCCCGGTGTGGCCACAGCTGAGGTGGCAGGACGGGCACCCAGTGGATGGTTCTGGACTGGAGAAAAGCAGTGGGTTAGGCCTCTGGGCACGGTGGATTGAAGCACTTCCTGTGGAGGCCTCAGCTGGGCAGGGGCAGGGCCAGGTCTCGGGCTCTAACCACAATGCCAGGAAAGAAAAGGGGAAGTGCCCGCTGCTACTCTGCTGAGAGGTGCTCCCCAAAGCTCCCCTCTGGAATCCCTATTTTCAAGAACGCAGAAGGTCCCTGCCAACTACCAGTCACCACAACAGATTGCTGGAGAGCAAGCTACAGCTCAGAGTAAGAGCCAGAGGAACCATGAGGCAGGGAAACAGAGCCAGAGTCAGGCAGGAAGCAGCTGAGGAATAACTGTCTTAACATTGTTTTTTTAAAAAAGAGATAGGCTGGGTGCGGTGGCTCATGCCTGTAATTCCAGCATTTTGGGAGGCCGACGCAGATGGATTGCTTGAGCTCAGGAGTTCCAGACCGGCCTGGGCAACATGGTGAAACCCCATCTCTACAAAAATTACAAAAATTCCCCAGGTGTGGTAACATGCGCCTGTGGTCCCAGCTACTCGGGAGGCTGAGGTGGGAGGATCACTTAACTCCAGGAATTTGAGGCTGCAGTGAGCCAAGATCATGCTGCTGTACTCCAGCCTGGGTGACAGAGTGAGACCCTGTTTTAGATAGATGATAGATAGATAGATAGATAGATAGATAGATAGATAGATAGATAGACAGACAGACAGACAGACAGACAGAGAACAACAAGCAAGAGCCCAGGTCTGGGTGAGCCTTCCTTCTCATAGCACAGGGCTTCACCGTCTATGACACCGTCTACGAAGCACTTACCACCACTTCGTGGGGAACAACAACAGGATTATCACTCCCACTTGGCCAAAGAAACTGAGGTTGAGAGGGTGAGGTGACTTGCCCAGAAGTTCTATAGTTAGCCACAGGTGTGAAGAGAGGAAAGGAGTGGGGCTGGGCCCAAGTCTATATACCTGATGGTCGGTCCCGAGCTTTCTGTGAGGCCTTGCAGCCAGCTGTGCCAGCCTGGACCAGACCAGAGTGTCAGCTGATGAGAGCGGGCAATAGGGTTCATTCTGTGCATTGGGAACTTGTACAGAGAGACCCTAGCTGTAAGGCTCGGAACAGGCCTCCTCTAGGCCAGGTACTAACACCACCATGCCGAGGGCAGCCAAGGACATCAACACACACACTTAAAAGTGGTGGGCAAGAACATTCCCACAGGGCAATCGAGCTAGTGTCTAAAGATAGCCTAACTTGAAAAGGACTACTGGGTGATTTCATTTTTGTAAGACTATTGTTAAACTGTGAGGTTACTTTCTTCTTTCTTTGGCCAGGAGTCAAGAGGGAGGTCATCAAATTAATCTAGAGGGTAAAGAAGGCCTCGTACTGTGGTAGTTAAGAGGGAAGGTGCTAAAGGTACACTGCTTGGGTTCAAATTTTGATGACCAGGCCATCAGTAAAGTGGGGATACTACTATTACTAACCTCACACTAGGATGCTATAAGGAATTATCCCAAGCACAAAGCAAACGTTCCATACATGCTAGTTACTGGCAGTATTGTAAAGTCCTCCTTGATAGCTGGTAAGCAGCACTGAAGTCCTTCTCCTGGGAAGGCTATAGGAAAGCTGTGTTACAGCTGTTGGCTAAGAATGGCTTTGAGGTTTAGCTCCAGGACAATGTTCTGCATGAATCTGAAGTCACTGTGTGAGGGCCCAACCTTCCCCCTGCCTTCAAGCCAGCTTCTGTCTTGCACTGGCAGTTGGAGGACACCTAAGGCATCTGGCAGTTAGAGAAGCCCCTACTTTCCTAAGCTGATGAAGTTCCTCCCTCTTCCTCCTCCTCCCCAAGCTGCCAACTCCCAGCCCGAGACCTGAGGCCAGGCCCCTCACCTTTTTGTGCTTCTTGGCCATCCATTTGTCCCAGTTGTTGAGCATGTCCAGCCACTTGGACTCCCTCTGCCTCAGCACCTCCAGGGGGACTTCCTCCAGCCTGTGGAGCAGAGGGCAGGGCCTGTGAGAGGTGCCAAGGGAAGCAAAGGCCCTGACTTCGTTCCCAGCTGCCAGCCTGGTCAGACCTCCATTCTTCCTGCCTACCATCCCTGCTGTTCCCCTCAGGACTGCTACCTCGGACCACCGTCCTATTGCAGATGAGAGGGAACACGCCACCTCCCCACCCACTGCCTCAAGGCATAAGCTAGAGACACAGCAGGTGGTTCAAGTGCCTACTCCCCTAATGTGGCCAGGGGCCACAGTGCCTCTCTGAGGCAGAGGCTGAGTGAGTGTCTGCATCTGTGCACCAAAGCAAAGCATTCCTGTCCTGGGTCTGCCTTAGTCAATAAGCCTCTTCGGAGGGCCGGTATACAAGGTGCAGAGTTGAACACAAAAACTAGTCAAACGAGTACAGAAATAACATGCTCACCTCTTTACTTCAGCCAAACTCATTACTCAGAGTTTCCCCATTTATGCCCTGGCCCTTTCCCACCTCTCAGCCTTTACTCATGCCAGTCCCTTTGAAGGAATGTTTCCCAAATTGTCTCCACCCATCGAAATCCTACACACACTTCAAAGCCCCATCAAATACCACTTCTTATATTTGTAGATCTTCTGACCGGGCAGCTAGCACAACTGTGTTGCACTGTTCTAGGGCGAGGGTCTCCGGGCGGGTTGTGGGGATGCCGTCCCATGATTAAAACAAAGTCCTGACCCTCATGGAGCTGATGTTCTGGTGGGCACTGAATGTGGGGGAAACACCTCAGCACCAAGGTGCTTTTTTGTGCTTTCTTAACAGAAGAAGATATTAATGACAGACGAGGAAACAGGCTCAGAGAGGTAAGATACCCAGGAAAGGTATCTTGCTCCGCGTCCAACAGCAAATCAGTGGAAAAACCCAGACTCAAATCCAAGTCAGGTCCCAGCCAAGAGCCAGCATACAGTGCTGCCTGACCTCTCAGAAAGGAGCACAGGGTCAGAGGCAGCTCAGAGGAGGTTCTCAGGAACAGGACACGGTGGGGCTGGGGCTTGGCCCAGGCCTGAGTCTCTGATCCTCTCTCTGCCGGAAGGAAATATGCTACTGTGACTTTTACTGGTTGGAAGAGCAGAGGGAGGGGCCCTGGCAGAGCTGAGGCCTCTAAGACACAAAAGGGAAGGTCTTCTTCAGTGCATTTTATCTGGGGAACTGCCCAGGCCTGAGAGCAGCCTTGGAACTGAATGTCTGAGGAAGGACTACAGCCTAGGCAAAGGAGGCCCCCTCAAAGCACTGAAACAAGGCACCCCCCACCTTGAACTGCTGCCCCTCTCACCACCTAGAGGCAGAACTAGGACATGAGTTACTCCTTTCCATGCTTTTCCTGATAAGAGCAAAGCAGGGACCACGCCTTTACAAAGGGTCAGGTAATTTACAAAGGGATGTGTATCTCCGGGCAACTCCCAAACATCCCAGGAGCAGAAACTAAGGGCCCACACCTCCCAGGCCATGGTACCTTCCACCACCTATAATGCACTGCTTATGCAACAAGTCAGGGGAACAGCCTTCTAGTTAACCAGTCAGAAGGGTGCCCAAACTGAGTCAACAGGAAGTTCTGGCAGTTATGGATGTAGATAATGGCTGATCCAATATCCCCACTGCACAGACGAAGAAAATGAGGCTTACAGAGGGCAAGGTTTTCACTTGAGATTACCAGTTTCCAAAGAACTCATAGGTGATTAAATATGTCTATTTGATACCTCAACCCTCAGTCTGGCTTTATTGATAAAATCTAACTGCAGGGACTCAGAGACGCCCATTCTCCCAACTGCAGATACACAGAGGAACATGTTAAATTCGGAGTTCTTTTAACTGATGCCAGATTAACAGCTCTGGCAGTTTCAAACCCCCAATGTCAAACCTCAAACCGGAATTTCAAAAGAGTACAAAACAAACTACCATATTTCCTGGATTCTAAGACACCACTGATTTTAAGCTACACCATTGATTTGGTAAGATCTCAGAAACAAACCAAAAAGCCACTATTACTTTAAATGTGCATGTCAATTGAAAGATCTCTTTTGATCTTTTAAATCCTAAATTGGGAAAATTTTGAGGCAATATGGCCATCTGAATGGCCTTTCCTTTAACAACAGAGGAGTTTAATCTACCTGGAGATGGTGAGAAGGAAGACACTGGAGGTCTGGCTGTACCTGGCACTCAGCGTACCACATGCTCTCTAACGGCAGGTAGGTATCTCTAGGCACAGGATGTGCTCCTGAAACACTGCAGGCTATATATATATATATATATATATATATATATATATATATAATTATTATTATTATTTTTAATCAGAAGGTTCACATATCCTTCAGTTAACTCAGTCAGGATCTTAGAAAGCATCTGATCCAACTGCTGTCTGATATAGAAATCCTTTCTACAATAGGCAAGTCCCCTTCCTTCTCTGAGCCTCAGTTTCCCTATATGCTTGTACAGCCTATCTTATGAATTGGACCCTCTAAGGATGCCCAGAGAGGAGCTGTGAGATGAAGCTGGGGCCAGAGGGGTCCCTGAAAATAGTGTGACAGTGTAGAAGCCCTGAGGTGGCTTCCTCCTGACGGTGGAGAGGGCAGGAACCAATTGCTAGTGAGAGAGAAGCTGGCCCGGTATAAGGGACCAAATGGCCCATGGGGGATGTCGCAAACCTGGCGGCCTCACTCATCCTCCAGAAAACCCCTCCTTCCTTAAGGTAGCCTAAGGGAGTCTCTGAAGCCAAAAGAGACAAGTGAGACCAGTTTCTTGTGGCTCAGTCACTGCTGGAACTCCTCCAGGGGTGGGCCTTCCTTACCTCCAGGTGAAGTCACCCTATTGTTAAACAATTTCCACTGCTAAAGCTTTCTTCCCCACATTATGCCAAAATTGTCCTAGTAACTTCTACCTGTAATCTCAACACCCCTTTTGAGGCCACACAATTCTAGACCCCTCCCATACCAGGCGCACACATTTTTATCCCTCATCATCCACTCACCCCTACCTGAATGCCTTTTCTTCTCCCTTCTCCAAGTGACAGTAACCCTTCAGAGCCCAATATTACATTAAAAACCACAACTACAACAATAATAATATCAGCAACAGTAGTTACCATTTGTAGATTATTTACTACTTATAATTTTCTTCTCAATGCTTCACATACCTTTATCACATGTACCTTTTGTAATAATCCTACTATAACATCATTCTCCCCTTTTTATTTTATTTTTTTGAGACAGAGTTTTGCTCTTGTTGCCCAGGCTGGAGTGCAATGGCGCGATCTTGGCTCACTGCAACCTCCGCCTTCCGGGTTCAAATGATTCTCGTGCCTCAGCCTCCCAAGTAGCCGGGATTACAGGCGCCCGTCACCACACTCGGCTAATGTTTTGCATTTTTAGTGGAGACAGGCTTTCATTATGTTGGCCAGGCTGGTCTTGAACTCCTGACCTCAGGCAATCCACCAGCCTTGGCCTCCCAAAGTGTTGGGATTACAGGCGTGAGCCACTGTGCCCGGCCCATTCTCCTCATTTTAAAGTAGAATTCGAGGCTTAGTAAGGTTAAGAGTGTTCCTTAAGACCATATAGCGGCCGGGCGCGGTGGCTCAAGCCTGTAATCCCAGCACTTTGGGAGGCCGAGACGGGCGGATCACGAGGTCAGGAGATCGAGACCATCCTGGCTAACACAATGAAACCCCATCTCTACTAAAAATACAAAAAAAAAATTAGCCGGGCGAGGTGGCGGGCGCCTGTAGTCCCAGCTACTCGGGAGGCTGAGGCAGGAGAATGGCGTAAACCCGGGAGGCGGAGCTTGCAGTGAGCCGAGATAGCGCCACTGCACTCCAGCCTGGGCGACAGAGCGAGACTCCGTCTCAAAAAAAAAAAAAAAAAAAAAAGACCATATAGCTATAAGTGGCAGAGCTGGGACTCAAACCCAGGCCTGACTGACTCTACAGCTCATGCTCTTGACCCTTGTACTACACTTCTCTGCCTCCACAGGCCAAACCCTCAGCCTCCACACAGCCTGCATGCCTGCCTGCCTGCGCAGATCTCGTAAAATGTCCTCCAACCTGAAGATCTTCATCCTGGCTCAGAACACCATGTCTCACACTTTTTAAACTGCTACCCACACAAACACACATACACACACACAACCAGGACACATTTTAGGAAACGAGTTGCCCTTACATATACTAATGCACTCTGATATTTCCAGATTGATTTTATATTATTCTATTCTATTGTTTTAAATGCTGGTCACAAGCTCCTAAAACTGATTTCAGCACCAACTGATAAATGAGTCAAGTCATTAAGTGTGAAATACGCACTTCATTACCACTTGCTCATATTACTCAGCACTGTCCCTCCCCAAATGGACCAGGTCTTAAACTTCTTCTGTGACTCCCACCACACCCCGCCCCCACAGGTGTTCAACAGCTGCCTGCCTGGCTTTCTCCATGACATTATTACCCTCATCTGCACTGCATCAGGGCTACAAGTTACTTCTGTCTTAGAAATTGTAGTGTCCCTCTAATAGCTCAGTGAAGTGGGGCCCTCACAGATTAATTACCATTTCCATTTGGCCCATGACAGACTTGGCCTGATCAGAGAGGTTGTATGACTTGGACAAAGTCACAAAGCTAATAAGTAAGTGGCTGACCCAGGGCTTCCCCTCTGTCACAGTGGCCAATATGCTACTTCTAGCTCCCCGGGGAAGGCTGTGGGGAAATCAGGCCCTTCTCCAGATGCTTCTGTGTGGCTCCATTTCTGGCCCCCAAGCCACTGGAGACAGTCTAACCCCCTCCTGCAGTGTTCTGACTGCCCCACTGAGTGGCCTGCCCGTACCTAGCAATGCTCAGAGACACCAATACACTGGATGGGATGGTTTGCCAGCACAACCTCAGGTGCAGATGGTAAGCCTGCCTGGGCAATCTGGCTTTTTTTGTTGTTGTTGAGACGGCGTCTCACTCTATCGCCCAGGCTGGAGTGCAGTGGCAC